CACAGTCTTGAAGGTTTGAGTAGTGGTTGTCTCCATTGCTCTTGGGTCTGTGGTGAGGCAGCGTGTCATAGTGTGGAAGGAGCATGGTGGACCCAAAGTGCTCATATCATGACCAGGGAGAGCAAGAGCAAGGGGCTTGGGCCCCACAAGCATCTTCAAGGGCTGGGCTCTCTCTAATGACCTAAAGACCTCCCCTAGCACCCTCCCGGTAGAGGCTCCATCACTCCCTATAACCCACCCTGCAGAGAACACCTTTCACACGTGGACACTTAGGGGACACATAAATTGCAAAGTATAGCCCCCTATATTGTAGAAAGATCCAGAACCCCTGATGGTTCCACCTACCACCTCTTTACTCACACTGCAGAGAAATGTGCTCCATCCTCCTTTTTCTTCCGAAGCTCAATCTCAGAAACTGACCATTTCTTTCAGGAACACTTGCTCCTTTTTTTGCTCCTTCATTTTTCTACTCTCACTTTTCATGGACCCCTGTACCTTAAAACCTCTCCCGTCTTCTTCTCACATTGGTAAGACAAAAAGTAGCCCTAAATTCTACGGAAAAGAAAAATGTTGGTATTTTGTCTTGTTTTGGGAAAGGAAAGCCTCCCATAAAATCAGACAAGCACTACCGACTTTCCAAATCTCTGAAAATGCAAGCTTTTGCTCAGACAGCACAGAACTCAGCCCTCCTTCACCAGCCCTCACCTGCCCTGATTTTAACTGCTTTTAAAGTTATTTGGTAATATATTCAATGACTGCTGCAGCATTTTTGCCATTGCATTTCATGAAAACACAGAGTGTTTCAAGTTTAAAAGCCCTAAGGATTTTTGTAGGCTCTAGTTTCCAATGTATTTTTTCAAGTATCGTGTCCCCAATATATAGCAAAATGCAAGCTTTTGCTCAGACAGCACAGAACTCAGCCCTCCTTCACCAGCCCTCACCTGCCCTGATTTTAACTGCTTTTAAAGGAAGCCAATTTATTTGGTAATATATTCAATTACGATTGAGGTTATTTTCACTATAACAATTCATTGCAAACACAGTGTTTTAGTAGCACCAGGAGTTAATTTTACAATTTGTTTCTGGAATCCAGCTACAATATCTGACCAGGACTCTATTGGGAATGGGGTCAGTTCTATGTCAACTTTTAAGGTATAGGCAGCAGTTAGTTTTCCTTGTGGCCAATTGAACATGTAATTTTTTTTTCCTTAGGTTTTTCCAGCTTATCTAAAGAAGCGTCTCTTCCGCCAGGTATGTCAACATTAATTATTCCCTGTAGTCTCCCTGTTTATGAATATGAGTTTGGAGAATTAGCAGCAGAGATGCCACCTTCTGAGTAGTTTCGTTTTGGCTTGTCTTGATCTAGTGGTATTCAAGCCTGCATACTGCAAGTCAGCTCTGTCTTAAAATGTGTCATGGAACCAGATACTTGTGTCTATCAAAATACCTTGGTGTTTTCCTCATTCTGTGAAATGGGTTTTGTATGCTGATTTTGT